CAGTTCTCTCAGGTGTGATGGGTTTGATTTCAGAGCTGAAGTCAGGATGAGACACTGTTTCTCTGTAATACTGCATCTACACAGACTGAAGACAGAAAGAGAAAACACAATGAATCAGACACGTTATGTTCATGTGTGAGTTAAATTAATCATGTTAACAACCATATAGTCCAATAATTAAAAAACATTGTCAAAAACCTTATTATATGACCATAAACAAAAACAGAAAAAAAAGATGAACAAATCAGAGGAGAGAAGAGATGATGTTGTGAGGGAGAAGGAAAGTTATTTAGATGAAAGATCAGGAGCGCACATCAATTAGAAATACATTATGTGCACGGATAAATAATTTCAGCACTGCAATATTCATAAAAAATTATAACTGTCAACTTCAATTTCATGGTGACTTTATGAAAGTAAACAGTAATCTTTAATCTCACTGTAACTGCTGTAGAGTATAATGATACTAACTCTAGTTTCTCCAGCTTGCATTGTGTGTTCATCAGTAGATCACTGAGGTTTTTCACTCCAGAGTCTCCTAGTTTATTCCCGCTCAGCTTCAGTTCTCTCAGGTGTGATGGGTTTGATTTCAGAGCTGAAGTCAGGATGAGACACTGTTTCTCTGTAATACTGCATCTACACAGACTGAAGACAGAAAGAGAAAACACAATGAATCAGACACGTTATGTTCATGTGTGAGTTAAATTAATCATGAGTAAACACCATACAGTCAAAAAATAAATAAATTATGCTTATTTAATTTTACTAAAAGTTTTTACAATTTAATTAATTTCATTCAAATTAAAATTGATTAGTTGGGTCAACACAATTTATCTGGTTTACATTAAATTAATTTACACTAGTTTGGGTTAGCTCAACTTTAGTACATTTGTCAAACTAAATCTTATGTGGGAACAAATGATTATGCATTTATTTATTTATTCATGGAGGTATACTAATAATAATTATTATTATTAAATAAGCAGTTGCACTCATAATTATGCACAATAATAATAAATAATAAAACTGGTGTCAGTGCTGATATTTGAATAGTTATTAGTCACTAAGTGTCACAGTCTAAGCACAAACACCACTCTTCTGCATAATGATAACCACAAAATTCACAAACATTACAGAAACTGTCCAACATAACTGAACATTAACCCGTTTAATCCCTATTTTTTTCCCAGACATGAAAATATCCAAATTATGTCATTAGTAACGCTTTCAAATAATCTATTATTTTTGTCATTTGTTTTTTTTAAGTGTTTAAAATTGTGTTTTATGGTCGGTCACAATTGTGACCGGTGGGATAATGTGTGTACTGAACTAACATATTTCTGCAGTCATAAACATTGTTATATATCTTAGCCAGCTATTTTAAACTGTTTGATCACATTCTAGGGTTACTATTATGCATAAAAAACCCTTATACAACACTGATAGGTACAGCACACGGAGATAAAAGACAAACGAAAAAAACAACCATCAACATATTTCAAAAACTTTTTTGTAACATATATCATAACATTTTTATATTAGTGCTAGCAGTATTACAACATCAATATTGTAACTTATTTGTAACATTTGAACTTTTAATTTAGTGCAATATTTTGTCATTGCAACATTTTAGTGTAATTTTCACTAACATCTGCGATTGGATTTCTATGTAAACCTAAGTTCACTGTTATCCCACCGTCACTATTGACCATCAACATGTTTCCTCATTCTGTGACCACACTCAACAAAACTGAACATATGTGAATTCATATATTATAATAGATGCAGTCATCATCTTCTCAAGATGCAAACAGGAAGTAAACTGATCTGGTCATGTGACAATTTGCACTAATCATGAGAAACTGCACATATTTCATTGAGACCCTTTATTTTTTCCATATTTGCAGGAAGTGCACTAAAACATCAGTCAGTAAGGTTTTTAGAGCTTTATAAATGAGAACCTTTTTTACAGTCACTATTGTGACCGGTGGAATTAAATGTGTTTTAAACACTAACATGTATTTCCCTTTACAGAAAAACACATAAAATAACACTTCATCCCTAAATTTACAATCATGCAGTTCCTTGTAAATCATGCTGGGAACTACAAACCCACTGCTCAGTTAGTCACGTCAACAACAAATATTAATGTAGTTTCAACACAAATAAATTAAATACACTTCAATTTTAAATATATTAGGTAGAGTGAACAATGAAATTGTTACAGAATGCTCAAAAACATGTTACTTTAGCTCATTTTAATTAAAATGAACAAGAGGCAAAAATAATTTTTTGAGTGTAGTCACAAATACACGAAACACTGAAAATAAACTGAACAGTAAACTAATCTCACTGTAACTGCTGTAGAGTATAATGATACTAACTCTAGTTTCTCCAGCTTGCATTGTGTGTTCATCAGTAGATCACTGAGGTTTTTCACTCCAGAGTCTCCTAGTTTATTCCCGCTCAGCTTCAGTTCTCTCAGGTGTGATGGGTTTGATTTCAGAGCTGAAGTCATAGCAGAACAACCTTCATCTGTCATTTCACAGTTGCTTAACCTACATTGAGAGAAATGAGAAAAGTCACACTTCATACTGTTTCATTTAAATAAAACACTTTTTGATTCTTGTCTGTGAATGTTACTGACCTCAATCTCTTCAGTTTACAGTGTGAATCCTTCAGTACGTCACATAAGTGATTCACTCCTGTGTTTTTTATTGGATTCCAGCTCAGCTCCAGTTCTCTCAGGTGTGATGGGTTTGATTTCAGAGCTGAAGTCAGGATGAGACACTGTTTCTCTGTAATACTGCATCTACACAGACTGAAGACAGAAAGAGAAAACACAATGAATCAGACACGTTATGTTCATGTGTGAGTTAAATTAATCATGAGTAAACAGCATACAGTGCAATAAATAAAATGCTGCTAAAACCTGAAAACAATATAAGTTATCAGTAAATTATACAGCCATAAACTAAAACAAAACCAAAACTAGGATTTGAGGATACTAGCTACATTCTACATTTGGAGAATCTTTAGTCAGACCAAAAAAAAAGGTTTGTGATTTGTAATGTAATAAGATACAGGATCAACTATAGAACCACTTTAAAATAACATTAAAAATTAAAAAATGGAGTTTAAATGTAACAAATCAAAAAAATTATGTTCACAAATCAAAATTTACTTCAAGACATTTTAAGATTGTAGTTTACAGTCAACAAATACAACATTTTGTTAAGATTGTTTAACAAATACAACATTTTGAGATCATATTTTGTTCTTTTGTGATGCATGTCTGAGTGAACTGAGTGAAATTAAAAAATGCAGGTCAGGAATTAATTTTTGTAGAACACATCTGAAGCAGCTAATCAAGCTCTTACTAGGCATAGAAACTTCCAGTCAGGTGTGTTGAGGCAACATTTTCGTGTATTTTGTGGTCTGAATTGTGGTGGATTTATTGATTTTATTTGATAAATTAAGAAGAAAAAGTATGGATTTGATCATTTCCTCATTCATTTCAATGTGGGGTCTCCAGAGAGTGACTGTTTATTTCACACTAACACACAACCAGATATCAATCCAGTTTAATTCTCTATTTGTAGAGCTACCAAGTGTTGACAACCGTACAAAGTCTCATGCTAAAGGGAACATTTTATTTTATTTCAGCAAACATCATTTGGGGTCTCAAAAGACCTTGAACAGCGCTTAAGGGTTAAACAAAGTGATTTTCATCATTTTGATTCTTGTCTGTGAATGTTACTGACCTCAATCTCTCCAGTTTACAGTGTGAATCCTTCAGTACGTCACATAAGTGATTCACTCCTGTGTTTTTTATTGGATTCCCGCTCAGGTTCAGTTCTCTCAGGTGTGATGGGTTTGATTTCAGAGCTGAAGTCAGGATGAGACACTGTTTCTCTGTAATACTGCATCTACACAGACTGAAGACAGAAAGAGAAAACACAATGAATCAGACACGTTATGTTCATGTGTGAGTTAAATTAATCATGTTAACAACCATATAGTCCAATAATTAAAAAACATTGTCAAAAACCTTATTATATGACCATAAACAAAAACAGAAAAAAAAGATGAACAAATCAGAGGAGAGAAGAGATGATGTTGTGAGGGAGAAGGAAAGTTATTTAGATGAAAGATCAGGAGCGCACATCAATTAGAAATACATTATGTGCACGGATAAATAATTTCAGCACTGCAATATTCATAAAAAATTATAACTGTCAACTTCAATTTCATGGTGACTTTATGAAAGTAAACAGTAATCTTTAATCTCACTGTAACTGCTGTAGAGTATAATGATACTAACTCTAGTTTCTCCAGCTTGCATTGTGTGTTCATCAGTAGATCACTGAGGTTTTTCACTCCAGAGTCTCCTAGTTTATTCCCGCTCAGCTTCAGTTCTCTCAGGTGTGATGGGTTTGATTTCAGAGCTGAAGTCATAGCAGAACAACCTTCATCTGTCATTTCACAGTTGCTTAACCTACATTGAGAGAAATGAGAAAAGTCACACTTCATACTGTTTCATTTAAATAAAACACTTTTTGATTCTTGTCTGTGAATGTTACTGACCTCAATCTCTTCAGTTTACAGTGTGAATCCTTCAGTACGTCACATAAGTGATTCACTCCTGTGTTTTTTATTGGATTCCAGCTCAGCTCCAGTTCTCTCAGGTGTGATGGGTTTGATTTCAGAGCTGAAGTCAGGATGAGACACTGTTTCTCTGTAATACTGCATCTACACAGACTGAAGACAGAAAGAGAAAACACAATGAATCAGACACGTTATGTTCATGTGTGAGTTAAATTAATCATGAGTAAACAGCATACAGTGCAATAAATAAAATGCTGCTAAAACCTGAAAACAATATAAGTAAATAAATAATTATACAGCCATAAACTAAAACAAAACCAAAACTAGGATTTGAGGATACTAGCTACATTTCAAGTCTGGAGAATCTCTCGTCAGACCAAAAAACAAAAAAAAAAGGTTTGTGAATTGTAATGTAATTAAGATACAGGATCAACTATAGCGCCACTTTAAAATAACATTAAAATGTAAAAATGTTTAAATGCAAGAAATCAATAAAATTATGTTCATAAAACAAAATTTACTTCAAGACATTTTAAGATTGTAGTTTACAGTCAACAAATACAACATTTTGAGATCATATTTTGTTCTTTTGTGATGCATGTCTGAGTGAAACAGCTTATTTTAAAAAATGCAGGTCAGGAATTAATTTTTGTAGAAAAGCTGGATAATTGTTTGCTATTGCTGTGATCTCATGTGACTGACAGGTTTTCCCATCTTCACATCATCAGACGAGAGAAGAGCTGTGTTTGTGAGAGAAAGGGAGAGTTATTTTCATTAAAGATCACAAGCGCCGCTATACGTAAGCCGTCTGCTATATTGGCATGTCCGGTGCATCTGCACTGCAACTGCAGTTATACACATGGTGGCTGTTTTGAAGTAGGTGTGGACCAAGTAGAGCTTGAAAATGTGTGTGAAGACATCAGCCAGCTGTTCTGTGCAGACCCTGAGCACTCGGTCAGGAAGACCATCAGGGCCAGACACTTTATGTGCATTCACCTGCTCAGGTAGAAGCATAACTCACTGGTTAAAAAAGAGAGCGGCAGGTCGTCGTGTGGGGCTCAGCTTCGATGTGCTTCTGTGTTTATACGATCAAAGCAAGCATTAAAGGGGTTCAGTTCATCTGTGAGGGAGGTATTACTGGTTGCTGGTCAATGTTTTTAAATTAGTCTTCAATCCTCAGTTTGTAGTCAGTAAACATGATCACATTCAGCAGTCACAGCAGAAGTTAGAGACAAAACTTAACTGAAGTCTATTCAAAAGTTGTATGAATCTATTCTAAGAAGGTTGGAAGCTGTATTAAAGGCAAA